GGGGGGGGTGTTAAAAGTATTAGGGATGGATATCTGAAGACTAAAGGGCTCTGAACGTCCATCCAAAGTGAGTTCCAGCCTCCCACAGTCCTCTGTCCCGCCTCCCTCGCCTGAGTAAGTTCTTTGCAGTGAGACGGACTCTGCAGAGACATGCTTCGAGCAACGTTCGCTAGGCTTCTTTCCTCACCCAAATTGTACCAGACGTCCATTTCACCACTTAGCGTCCGAACCTCAATGATGGTTTGGCCCAGGAAATCATCTGACTCTCGCTTTAGCCGCTGCTTCACTCTCGACTTAATGTCATCATCCTCATCCCACACACGCACCTTAATGCGGTCAGAGGAGTTGTGGCACTCACTGTGAGAGAATCAGACGGGCTCTGTGAGTGAGGAACCCTGCAGCCCCACACCCATGGCGCCCAGTCTCTCCCCAAAGCTCCCACAACTGCACTTGAGGCCCTGAGAGAGGAAGAAAGGGAGTCGGAGAACAGGGATACTACAGTTCCAAATGAGTCGGGTTGCCCAAGAAAATGGTTCCTATACCCTAAGACATCTAGCCTCTACTGCCCTGAGACAAAGGGGCCGGGGAGAGAAGACGCAGCGCCAGTTCTGACACCCTGTACAGCCAGCTGTGTCGGTAACAGTAACAGGAGACAGACAGATGCGACAGAGCCCTAGGAAACAACCACCAGCTCCCTCCTCTGAAGCCGAAATGAGGAAGAGCTAAGTTCTAGACGCTCATGGCGTGTCCATCTTGCCGTCTGCCAGTCTCAGATAGAATCTCCGCCCTGTCTGGGGACCATCCAGCCGTCGTCTCTTCTGTGGCATTTTCTCCCAGGAAGGGCGTCCTCTCGGGGCTCCCTTTCCCCCAACAGCTGTCTTCTGGATCCTATAGCCTCATGTACACTGTGCGTGGCGGGATGCGGTGCTCTGTGGCCCGCGTTCTCTGCATCTCGCTCCGTAGTCCATTAAAATAGTATGATTACTGCTCAACTTAAGTATAATGAACTTCTTGAAGTCGGGAATCATCTTATTCATTTCCCGGTGCACAGAACCATGTACCATGTCTTATACAGGGTAGAAAGTTTGTCCATTGTTTGTTAAATAAATATACGTGCACAAAAATGACCACAAAGTCAATTCACTTAAGTTAACCATAAGGAGGACTAAAGCAGGAACCATTCAGATTCTCAAAGAAACTTCTCTTGGTACCTGCTGCACAGGGATTGTAGAGAGTAATCTCACTAATGCCCCACGCCCTTTCTATGAGTTCTCCAAGCCGCCAACAGAAGCAGGTCTCTACACAGCCAGACAAAGTAGCTCTGCATTCTCTATGTACCAGTCTAAGTCTTAGGTTAGAGCTTGTGAGTTTTTGAGGATCACCCCCTTATACTGAAATATGAGTGAGTCTGTAAGAAAATGAGACCATGGAAAAGGAATAGGGTAGGAGCTGAGGCAGAAAGACAAGCAGGACTCTTAAGAAAAAAGAAACTCCTCCAGACCCAGATGTCCATTTATCTGGTCTTGGGGCAAGGACACGCCTTTCCTTCTCCCTAGAAGAGCTCACCCTCCTAGAACAGTATGGCAGAGCTGGGAGTACGCAGCAGGGCGGGCAGGCTGGTTCTGTCACTGTCTGGGATGCCCCTTGGGCACAGTCACCCTGACATAACCGTCCATGAAGAGGAGGATGGCTGCTGCCTGAGGGCAGCATGTGAGAAATGGGGTCCCCCACTGCCTTGGCCCAATAGGACTGCTTACTGCTCCCCAAATCCACACAGACACGACAATGGCTGCCCTCTGTGACTTACAAATGGAATTTCTCCTCCCAAATAGGATTCAGGTTTCCAAAAATGGTCTTGGTACGCTTCTTCGTTTTGCCCACTTGCACGGTCACATAAGGGTCACTGGATCCTGTCTTGTCTTTGGCTTGTAGGCCCTGGGCACACACCACTGCAACCCAAGCAGAGAGAGAGGGATGCTTCAGAGAACACGCTGGAGTCAGAAAGCCCTCCGTAGCACGACTCATACAGAATATTCTGCCTGCGCCTTGCATGGGACTCTTAATCTCACTCCTGCACACATATCCTTAGTCCTATACCCCGCCCCCCTCAGAGTCTAGCCAACGATCTCCCCACTTTTCATTGGCCATTCCCCCTGTAATACATGCATATTTAAGCCCAACCCATCTGCAGGTAAACCTGGCTAGTAACTCTTCCTGTTCTCCTCCTTCTTCCCAATCAATATATTGTTACCAAATCCTTGTATGATTACCCCTATTGTTTGTAGGTGCCAGCCTTGCCTCTCCCAACACCTTCTCACACCAGATCTGGGTCGGGAGGAGGGATAAATAATGAGGCCCACCCTCGGGGGTCTATCATCTTCCTCCCCACCTCTTACCCACTTCACGTTCAGACTCTTCTTCCCCAGGCTCCTTCTCTTAGCCCAGTGGTTCTCACACTTTCTCATGCGGCGACCCTTTCATCCAGTTCCTCCTGGGTGGTGACCCCCCAACTATACAATTATTTTCATTATTACTTCATCACTGTCATTTTGCTACTGTTATGAATCGTCATGTAAATTTCTGATATGCAGGATGTATTTTCATTGTTACAAATTGAACATACTTAAAGCATAGTGATGAATCACAAAAACATTACATAATTATATATTGTGAAGTATTTATTTCTAATGACAAATAAATGAAATTTTGTCTTGAAGCATGGTGTAGCATGGGTAATAGTCTTCATGCCGGGTACTCATATGTGGGCATATCTGCATGTGGGCGGACCCGCCTGGAGATGGATAGAGGAGCAGTGTTTCGGTTCCTACAACCATTGGAAATATGTTTCCTGATGGTCTTAGGTTACCCCTGTGAAAAGGTCGTTCGACCCCCAAAGGGGTTGTGACCCACAGGTTGAGAACTGCGGTCTTAGCCTCAGGCCTTCCCTCCCTCCCATACTTTGACCTGCTCACCAGTGATGGTGATCTTGGCTGACCACTTAGAGGTTCCATCCAGTACACTCTGCTTCACTGTTTTCATCTGCTGCACATGGGCCACTTTGCTGACACTGAAGACATCCCGGATAACTTCGAAGATCTCCGGTTTGTTCCGCTCTCTGATCTTCATTCGGTCTTTCATGGCCATGATAATGTTCTGGGTCCGGTCCTCAGCTCCATGTTTACAGCTCTTTTCTGCAGCTCCTGAAGGATGGCCAGAGATAGAAATTAGGGCTGAGCAACAGGTCGCCTACCAACTAGTCAACATCTATTGTTGCCTTTTCTCTCCTCTGCAGGATGGCAACATATTTAGCCAGGGCCTTGGGAATCTAGCCCAGTTTTCTCCTGGACTTCTGCCTAATCCACATGAAACATCTGATCCTACCACCGCTGTACAGAGCAATGAACACGGAACAAATACTACCTTCTCTGAGTACTATGGTCCAGACTTTAGGAAGTCTCTCTGTGGGCCATGGAATTCCCAGAACCCTCTCCTCAGTGTTTCTGTCCCTGACTCAACTTGTTCTAGTCAGCTGGTCAATGTGGACACTGTGCTCAGCCCCAGGGGTCATCTGAATCCTCAAGGCGATTTTAGCCCCAGGAGAAGATCTCTACAAGCTCAAAGACATTTCCCTAAAAATGTTTGAGAGTACTGTAAGACCTATTGCTGGGCAATGGGCAAGGCGATGTCCCTTGACTCGGGATCCGACCTCCTCTGTAAAGGAGAGGGCTTCAGAACCACAGTGGAAGAAGGGTGGGCAGTTCAACACCCAGAGGTCTTAGAAAGACCCTTCTTCCCCCGCCCACCACCCTCACCCCAGGGGCACTCACGCTGCAGACAGTCGGCATTGAGCAGGTCCTGGCACTTCTCATGGCACTTGACTCCGCATTCGCTGCACCGCATGCCCTGGCGGGCAATGCCCCAGAGCAAGCCCTCGCACTCGTAGCAGTAGGTTGGGGTCGTGGCTGTCCAGACCTCAAAGTTGTGGGGGGTGGTGCACGAGATAGGGTAGATTAAGGCCTGCAGGGTCTTCTTATACACATGGGATTTCTGAAAGACACACGCCCCATCACCCACCAGTGACTTCAGAATCCTGTTGGGAGATACCAGAACTGACAACCTGAGAGGAGTCAGGACCTCTGGCAGTTAAGAGTTTGTAATCTGGCCCAGCCCAGCCCAGCCCAGCCAAAAGTAGTTTCCAATGTACTGCACTCTTGGTCCTCCAATGGGGGTTTAGCCCAGAATTCAGGCTTTCTAGAGGACCAGAGGCACTAGACCAGGGGTCCTCAAACTATGGCCCACGAGCCACATGTGGCCCGCTGAGGACATTTATCCAGCCCGCCGGGTGTTTTTGCCCCGTTTTTTTAACTTCAAAAAAAAAAAAATATGTGCAGTGTGCATAAGAATTTGTTTATAGTTTTTTAAAAACTATAGTCTGGCCCTCCAACGGGTCTGAGGGACAGTGAACTGGCCCCCTGTTTAAGACGTTTGAGGACCTCTGCACTCGACCTACCACAAAACCTTTAGCTTCAGAAAGGTCCATTGAACTGTCTCCTCCCGAAGGCCAGCATGAGACTGAAAACTTACTGTGTCTACTCAGATGTGGAAAACGGAGACAGGATGCCATCTATGTGTTGTGTTGATGATATGTGCTGCCCAGCACCTTGGAACTCCCAGTGAGTAGGGCTACAGAGACATCCAGCAGGCCTCAGACGAGTGGTTTCATGAAAGCTCGGGGATCACTTACCAGCTCTTCATCTTTGAGAGAGGTCCGTGTAGCCATTGCAGAAGTAACACCTGCCTTCCGAGACTGGACCAAGGACTGCAAGAGAAACCCTGCTGTCAGCCCTGTCCACGAGCAGGGGCCGTCTCAGGGACCAAGGCCTTTTACTGGCACTTACTACACTCAATGTATTTCTACTGCACCTGGAAACTGCGCCCTGGTTAACAAATGCGTGCCTGTGTGAGATGTAAAACTCAGGTCCCTGAGAGAACTGTTAGAACACCACTTCTCTCAGGGTCTCTTATCTTCTCTTTTGCTCATCATTCTTAGGTATCCTATCCCTGAGAAAGACCTTGTTTTTAAGAAGGCAGAGAGAAAGGAAGAGTATAGAGATACACGGGTCACTAAGAATAGGATAGATGCACAATCCCGTCAGTCCCTTTCAGGAACCATCCAGAGAATCACGGTTTGGTGTTATCATCCCAACCACGTCAACACCACCACCCCCCACCCCCCGATCCCCAATCCCACATGATCCCCTGGTGGGTCTAAGGCTAGCAGCCAAATGACTAGGGCACTTAGTGAATGAGGGGGCAATGTAGCCTTGGTCAAACCAAAGGTTAAGCAGAGGCTCTTGTGGAGAGGGACCCATGTATTTGCCAAGGGTGGGCTTTGGGGAAGCCCCTGGAGAGGGCCATGAATGGCAGCAGCAGCAGGCATTAGGCAGAGAGAAGTCATAATACTCAGTCTCAAGGGAGGAGAATGGCTGGGAGGGGCGCAGTTGGCTTGGGATGGGGCTTTTTCCAGAGGGTGGGGAGACACTCACCATCGCCTTGCCAGAGGAGAGCAGGGAAAGGAACAACAGAGGTTAAAGCTGCCCCAGGACATGAAACAGCCACAGGCTACTTAAGAGGTTCAGCTCTAGACCCCCCTGTGCATCGGTCCACTAACAACTGTCTCCAACGTAGACAACTGGCCAGGGCGCAGGGCCGGGAACGCCTACTCGAAGGAGAGTTAAGCCAAAAAGTGAAGCTAAGTAAGGGCACAAGACAGAGGGAAACGAGAAGTGAACGTACACTGCTATTCAATCACTTAGGCTGCTGGAAAAGAAGGGAGGAGAGTTGTGAAAAGGAACTTAAAAAGAGGCAGGGGAAAAAGAAGGAAGACAGAAAAGGGATGGGAGAGGAGAGAAGGAAGGAAAGCAGGTGCCAAGAAGACGTGATTTCAAGGCTGATCTCCAGGGAGCTGGTAGAAGATGCGCATGGAAGAAGAAAGGAGGGGAAAGAATAAAGAAGAAGATACACAAATGGTAGAAAACAAAGGAGGGCAAGAAATGACACCGCTCAAATGGCAGAAGATACAGCCAATGGAGGGAAGAGGAACTAAGTGGGGAGGGGTGCAGGGAAAACAGAAGACGGGGGAAAGGGCTGACTAGAAAAAGCAGAATAGACAGGATAGTAGGGGGGGGGGGAGAGGCAGAAAATAGGAATAAAAATGATCACCAGAAAATGGATCAGGTTTCTGGCTTCTAGCTTTAGAGCTCTCGGACTCTGGTTGCGCTTATGGGTGCCTGGACCCCCACTCACCCCCCTCCAGGCTACAGAAAAATCCCTTAAGTTAATCCTGCCCTCAGGACCCAATAGGAGTATGATCCAGAATGGGAACTTCTGGTCATCCTGGAGGTCCAGAGGCCAGCTTTACTTCCTAACTGTGTCAACGGCACACCACATAGTCTCGCCATTACCTCTCAATGCTAGACTCTGTGCTGAGGACTAGGAGTATAGAGACATTATAGAAAGTGTACGTTTGGGGGAGGAGACTTGCACTTGGCTCCAAGAAGGGGTCCTGTTCATCCCACCCCAAGCTCAATGATCCAGCTCAGGGGCTGGTGGCAGTCTGGAGGAAATCAAAGGCAGCTATAGGAATACCTAGAGGAGCTAGATACCTACAGGAGCCCTGCTTTGAGGGTCCAAACCACAACTATTCCAATTAGGAGCCTGGGCCGCTGAAGAGCCTGGGGATCTGACTAGGAAGTGAGGTATACAACAATGTCTTACTCCGACCCCCCCTGACCCCAGTAAGGCTTTAAAAGATTGCCCATCAGACCACGCTAGCCATGAAATGACTCCTTGCAGTTCCAACAGCTTGTCACAGCCCCCTGGGGATACCACAAGACGACTTCCTAGGCCTGCACAATGCTCGCTTACCAGATCGCTGACAAGCGGCAGCGGCTTCTTTCTGCGTAGATCCGGCATGCTATCGATGCCATAGAGACCCCCGGCTGGCCTGCAGAGAGAAGAAAACGTGTCAGGGCCCCCAGGCCTGTCTTCTGTGACTGCCAGGCTCACTGTTCCATGCGCCTTGGTCTCTCCATCCCACGAGGAAGAGAACTGACCTCTACATCTGCCTTTGAGAGGGACAAGGAAGAGGGAAAACGAAGGGGGAAAGTCACGAGGTGATGTTGAAGCTGCTCTTATACTCCTTGGATGACTCTAGCCAAGACTGAGAATATGCCAAACTCACAGAGACAGGCCACGGCCCCTGTGTGTTCGAAGGCCCCGGTGCTCCATAAAGGAGCTTGGGTGGCACAAATGCGTGCCATTGGCCCTTCACCAGAAGGTTGGCAGTGGGAACCCACCCTGTAGCTTCACAGAAGAAAGGCCTGGCAAACAGCTTTTGTAAAGAATTTAGCCAAGAGAACCCCATGCAGCCGTTTTACTCTGTGAACCTGATAGCAGTGCGCTTCAGGTGCCCCGTAAGGCAAGGTAGGGCTTGGTTGTTAGAGGGCTCCTCCTCATACCAAGCCACAAACAGTGCTGTCCAAAGATAAGTCTGGCCGGCTGTGCTAGAGCAGAGACCTCAGGAGCTCTCTCCAGGAGACGACTGCCCAGGTGGGGGAGACTGCCAAACCAGGACTCAAGGAGGGCGACCTTCTTGGTCCACAGGAAAAGGGTTACCTACTCTGTGGAGCCAAGCCACCTGAAGAAAGACACTCTCACACCCAAGTGGAGGTAGGGCCGATGGCAGAGGAGGCTTGCAAAAGAAGACCATTCAGGAAGCCACAGTGGAACTTTGGGAACCTGGTCCAACCCAAGGACACATCAACAGGGACCAGAAAAACATTACATCTGGATCTCTAAAACTTCTCGAGCTTTTCTATACTTACTAATATTTGTTGATTTTTACGATAACAATGAAAACAGGGGTTTTCCCCAAGAGAACCCCAGTCTCACAGTGAGATAATCTGGAGTCTAGCTCCAATTCTACAAACTCACTGCACTCCTTCTGCTAAAATGCCCTCCTCTTGTTCTATAAAACAAGAGGATGAACGACACCACTGGTCTTTTAGGTGCTGACATCCCAGGACTTAACTGATTCAACGTGGTTCAGTCACGACTGATGAAGTGACTCCAGAACAGACGTGCTTTTAACATGTAAGTGACCTGGAACGGGGAGAACGACGGGGCCTGCCAGAAACGGAATCTCCACTTTAGGACGCAAGGGCAGCGTGTGCGCCAAATCTCCTGACCAGCTGGGTGGGAACCAAGTGTGCTCAGTTCTGAGGGGGGATCTGCACCACTGTGAGCCATGACCGAACCGGTTCAAAGCCCCATAACACTCAGAGGCTCAGACTGTTAGGAGGGTTTGAAGGTGTACATGAAACATGAACATGTACATGAAAGAAACTCATGTATACTTGGTTGTAATGAGAACACCGAGGAAGGTGGTGGTGGGGGTTGTGTTGTGCACCACAGTTGGTCTAAAAAGAGAAATGTCCCAGGAGATTAAGTAGGCACTGCCAATCATATAGGCAAAGAGTTAGTCCATAAATTGGTCAAGGTCAGGGGTTGGCAACCTATTGACTAGTTCCTGAAGCACAGGCAGCAGGCTTTGTTATCAGCAGGACTCCCAGGCTTAGGGAAGCTCTGTAATCACGCGCGCTCCCAAGGACTAAACAGGAAACAGGAAGGAAGGAAGGAAGACACCAGGGAAACATGTAGATAATTTCTGCTTGGCTCCATTTTAAAACCACTTGGGTATGTTCCATCCGCATAAATTATATATATATATATGAATTATTGAAGAAAAATGCAAATGTCCACTTAAGAAGCAACTAATGTCAAAAGTTTGTAGCCAATTTAAGAAACTACAATGTGTAAGACTTAAGCCAAGACGGGGAGAGAGATGAAGCTTTCTACTCACATAAATATCTACAGTCTCGGAAATCAACAGAGGCAGTTCCACTCGATCCTACACGTTCACTATGAGTCAGAATGAACTCGACGTCAGTGAGTTTGTTGCGTTTGGGGAAGCCAAGAAGCTTTCCTGCAGTGCAACTGAGCTTGTGATTAAAAAGAGGGGGGCCGGGGGAGAGGGGTATGTGGCCCATATACATGATTAACTCTTAAATGACCAAAAGGGCAAATCATCAGTGAAAGGCAAAGGCGCATGCACAGCGTAGTCGTTGATTTCATGACCTGATCTTTCTTCCTCCCCGAGTACAAGTGAAAGGAGCCGATGAGAAGGCCTCTGTAGGGCAGGAGGAGAAGGGACATTCTGAGAACTAATGGACAGTGTGTTGGGGGCTGTGAGGACAGTTTTTCCCTTTGAAGAGTTACATACAGGCCACCTGGGCAGCAGTTGAGCAGCTTAAAATGACTCTCTGCCATCATCACATGGGTCTGAAACTCCCAGACAAGAAGCAGAGACAGGACACGCAGAGCTCAGAAGGGATGCTGCTTCAAGACTGAAGGAGAGTAAGTGGGTGCATCACACCGGCTAAAGGAGGCCTGTGCCCAGAGGAGTCATCTAATTAGCCAGGGCAATGGAATGGAAAGGGGCTGTCTCCAGATGCAGACATATTCTAGTTTTATCATTCTTCTGCCTGATGGGAATATCACCATGTGGTAGTTAAATAATCTGCTGTCGATTTGAGCCTTAAGAGTAAAGGGGTGGAGTTTAACCTGTCAATCAGGTCACAGCTTGATGACCTCATTTGGAGGCGCTAAGGAGATAAATAGCTTGCTGGAGGCAAGACACGCTCACTCCCTGTAAGACAATACTGACCACAAGTCTGATGGAGCTATGCCGATGGAGCCAGAGCCCTGGAGCTGGAGGAGCCACATGGAGACCCCTGCCAGCACTGAGATGCTTCTACTGCTACTGGATCCACAAGACTTTGCACCCATTGGTCTGTGATCTCCCTGCATTTGGCATCATTGCATGTGTTGGGTGAGTCTGAAGAGGAATTACAGATTGGTATGGGACATATGAGCTAATACCGGACTTATGGACTTGATCTGGACTGGGCTGGGATGTTTTCTCAATATTCAATTTCTCTTGTATATAAAGCTCTTTCTTATACACATATGCGTGTTTATGGATTTGTTTCTCTGGTCTACCCAAACATACTCTACCAGGATGCAATGGATCCAAAGTTCCAAAGACAACGGTGGAGAAGCCTCAAAGCCCCTCTCCTGCCCAAAGGAATCAATTTGCAGGCGTCTCTCCTTTGTTTCTGAGAACCAACCAACCTACAGTGGAACCTGTTATTTCCCCAAGGTCTCGCTCAGAGAGCTGTCTCTTCTGTGTCCCAGTGGAAAAGTGTAAAACAGCAAGGGAGACTATCAAATGCAAGAAGCTGTGCAGAGAATCACTTACCCTTCAGGGATCCACTGCGGGAGAGAGGGGTCCCCATCATCTGGAATCTTTAAAGAGAGAAAGGAGAAAAAAATTAGGTCTTGGGAGAGAAACAGGTTGGGCAGTGAGCAGGAGAGTCAAAGTAGTACAGGTAGCACACACCAGGTGGTGACAGAGCCAGCCTGATGCCTGTCTAAGCCAATGTCCTGGTGAGTCAAGGCAACAAGCAGGCTGCTGAAAAGAGCAGTACTTCATCTCCTTCTCCCAGTGAACAGGCAGATCTAAGACTCAGCTCAATGAGATCCATGGTTGGGGTCCTCTGGGAATGTGGTAGCTACCAGGATTCATATTCCCTCACACAACTCACTGGTACACATAACTAGGTAAGCCAGGCATGCCAACGATAAGGATCCACTTATACCAGCAGGTCTTACCAAAGCAAAAGAACAACATTAAACAGAGTCAGGTCTTCTAGCCACATTCCTAAGACCCACTGGCTACCCCAGAGTCAGGCTGGGTCTTTCTGGAGGCCCATCTCTTCTTGTGATTTGACTTAGGGTAGGTTCCTTAAACTCCTGACTTACTGACACCGAGTACACAGGTACCTAAGATCCGAGGCATCGGAGAAACACTCCATGCCTGGGGGAGATTAGATACTTGGATTATCATTCTGGTGAATTCACTAGGAAGTTGAAAACTGAGGCAATGAGTAATTTAAGGAAGGAATTGGGCGGGGGGTGTCATCATACCATTTCCATATTAAAGGTTTCCACATTTAAAAACAAAAAAATAGCAAAAACTCCAAAGCATGTCCTTCCGCGGTGTGCAGAAGAGAGCTGCGGAGCTCCCCGTGCTCCCCCGGGAACCCATGGCACATCCTATTTAGGAACAACAGCTCCCACTGCCGCCATGTTTGCGGCTTCTTGCCACTCTTGGTGCACCTCCACGCCACCAACTTTCCTGGGTCCCAAAACCTGGGCTCTAGCTAATCATCCTGGAGCAGATGGGGAAGGTGACAAGTAAGCTGCTTAGCCTAGGGCAGGGGTGGTGGTGGTGGGGATATTTGCAGGGGAGCAGAAGCTAGGAGAGATTACGGATAGAGTGAGACATCACAGAGTAGAACAGGGACAGACAGGACAGGGCTGACAGGTGATGGAAAGGTGAACGAGAATTACCTGGCTCAGCAGAAAGCTCAAGATGAACTTTGGCTTTAAGATCCTTCTCACATGACTAACTGCCCAGAGCCCTTCACGGCACATACTACCTTCTCTACCTACTGCCCTGGCTCAGTGGGAGGGCCGATACTGTGAAGGGACAGCTAGGCCCCCCAGGCAAACAGAAGCAGATGACGTGGCTACAGCAGAAAATAGAACAGTTGGGTAATAACAGAAATGATACACCTCTTGGGGCTGTTTATGAGGGGTGCTCAGCCCAATTCTTAGATCCTACCAACTAGAGCTTACACTCCACAAATGTTTGCCGGAAACCATGGGGCTTATGGTCACAAAAAAGCTTTGGGAGCCAGGACTCACATTACATGTGCTTGGAAGGGACACCAGAGTGAGAATGCACACACAGACCAGAACCTGCCTACAGGGGGTGCTGCTGGAGGCCTGGCAGCGAAGGCGATCTAGATGCACACCAAGTATGTATAGGAAGGAGATTCCTAGACATAACATGGGCCCTGAAGAAAACATAAAGCGAACCTGGGTCCTGCACTTAGGGCTACAGGCCATGTTGGGTGGATTCCACAGCGTCTGCTAGCCCCCCTAATTGCAGGCTGAGCAAGCTTTCACTATCATCCAGACAGGCGCACGCAGGCACAGAGCATCTGTGGACCCTATAGTCTCATGCAGGGGGAAACCACAGGACAGGTCCATAGAGCTTGTGCTCAGAGAGGCCAGGAAGCCTGCTCACAAGCACAAAGCATATTCACAATTCGAGGCCCCGGCAAGAGGCAAATTGCCTGCAGCAACTCCCGCTCTCAAATAGCGTGTGCGTGCAAGCAGGCGCAGCCAGGGTCTACAGCAAGTTGGTCCACAGCACCAGGTAGAACATGGATACACACTGAGCAAAGCAGGGGGAGACGAAGGCAGTCGCTGTGTCTGAGGCCCTCAAACTGAGTAAAAGCACATACATGCTACGCTGAGCGCACCCCTCGGCTGGTACACACGCCGTCACGTGGGGCTCCGGGAGCTCTGCCTGCAGGAGCACACACAAGCGTGGAGCATGCACACAAACTGCTTTGGGGGAAGACCAGGCTGACTGGAAGAGCCAAGCTCAGAAGCACAGATCATGCACACGCACACGCACACGCACACACACACGCATACAACACACACATGCACACAGTGCTCAGAAGGAAGGGGTGGAGAATAGACAACAAAAAGGGTCCAATGGGCCCAAGACACAACCTGAAGGGCTCCTCGCTTTCCTTCTGCAAGGAGAGAAAGAGCAGAAAGAGGGCAAAAGAGGTTATTACATTCAGTCTTATGGCTTGGAACCTAAAGAAAATACCAGCTACACCCCAAGGGGAGTGGGAGGTCCTCTGAACTGGACAGCTCTGAGACTAGCTGAATAGCTCCCAGAACCCTTATCTCCACTATTTGCTGGTTTTGACTTTGTAGTATGGAGCAGGGCAGGGGCAACTCAACCCGAAGGACAGGGTCTCTGTGGGGGGCTTCCAGCCATCCTTGACATCTCTCAAACATGCCTTGCCTCCTGCGCCGGGGCCACCAGGGTGCCATGGCCAGTCCAATCAGCGATGCCCGTGGGCTGGGCCCAGAGTGCTTGGTTTCCTCAGAAGCCACATGAGCCCTCCCTGGATCTGGGAGAAGTCCTCAAAGCCCACCGTTCCGTGGCCGAGGACTTTCCACTTGGCAGAGTGGACTACATTATGAGTGCCCCGCAAGTCGCGGACCGTGTTCCCGAGTCTGGGTAGGTGGCATCGACCTGGGACTGCCTGCACACAAGTTACCATGACCTGGGCAGTAAAACAAACTGCAATCTCAGGTCGGATCAACCGAATCCAGGCCAATACTCCAAAGGATGTAGTCCCTTCCAGAAGGCCCCGATGACACCACAGCAGGAAGACGAAGAATGTCTAGAAATTATTCCTTTCTTTTTTTGCCAAGAGACCACCTTGCCTTCCAGGTGAAGCCACTCCAGCTCCCCTCGGCTTCCTGGAGGCCCACACAGACATCTCATCCCATCATACACAGAAGGAAGAATTCGTTCTTCAAACGAATTCCGAAGTTCCTGATTCCTAACACTCCATTTCTGATGACATGAGGCCTGTCCTGAAGAATGGACCTGAACCAGGAGTCCTCCAGATTAGCTCAGCTCCAGGAAGGCGGGGGAGATGAGAGAGACACTTCTGGAGTGGGGACGCAGTCTTCTCGAGCTACTCCCCACCTCCCCCAGAGCACCCAGCTCCCTTTGAATAAGAAAAGTAGGCACGGGGTACTTTAACTGACCCTGTGACTCAAATTAGAAATGTTTTTCTCCTCCTCCACTGTCTTAAATACATTCTTCCCCCTGAGTCTAAGATTCTGGATGGCGTCCTTCCGTTTCCCACAATGCCTAAAGAATAAATACCAATCTGTGGACAAGGTTCTCTACGATCTGGCCTTAACCTCAAAATGGGCCCCGCTTTTTTTCCTTCCCACAATCTAATTGCCCACAGCAACCTCATTTCCCAAACAGGTTGCATATTCAAAACACCATTATTTATTTTCTCATTCTGTGCTGTCAGCCTGAAACAGCACTTCACCCTTTCTTCCCACAGAATAAAATCCAATTCCTCCCCCAAAACCCAGATCTGGGAAGCTTTCCCAGGTGGCCCCCCTAGCAAGAGTTCATGAAGCCCTCCTAGTTCACCCATGAGTCCCTGGGTGGTATAAAGGGCTAAAGCGCTTAGCTACTAACTGAAAGGTTGGAAGTTCAAGTCTGCCAGAGGCACTATGAAAAGGGGCCTGGTGGTCTATGTGGTAGAAATCAGCCACTGGAAACCCAGGGGCACAGGCTAGCCCCACACACATGGGGTCACCCTGAGCAGGAACGGGCCAGATGGCACCTCCACCGCGGTCATCTTCCTCACTGGTACTTGGCACGTCAGGGTTTGACAAACCCCAGCCTGGGGTGGATGAGAGCTGCAGCTCTCCTCCCTCTCTCTAGCTCTGTCTTTCAACTAGATGTAGATTTTTAAAAATGTGTGTTTATGTTTATTCAATTAAAAAGGGGGGGGGGATTTGCCTTCAATTCTCCTAATTTTGTAATTTATTTTTAAACTATTTTTATTATTTTTTAAAAATCATTTTACTGGGGGCTCGTACAACTCTTATTACAATCCATCCACCCATCCATCTGTTGTGTCAAGCACATGTGTACATTTGCTGCCATCATCATTTTCAAAACATTTTCTTTCTACTTGAGCCCATGGTATCAGCTTCTTATTCCACCCACACTCCCTCCCTCACAAACCCTTGATAAATTATATATATACATTTTTTCACAAGTCCTTGATAATTTATACGTATATATATATATATATTTTCCCCCCCCCCCCAATGTCTTACATTGACTGATGTTTCACCCACTGTTGTGTTGTCCGTACCCTGGGAGGGGGTTATACATAGATCATGGTGATCGGTTCCCATAGATGTCGGTTTTTAATCTCATCGGGGTCCTGGGTGCCCCCATGGCTTTTATACCAGTCACCTGTCTTGTACTCCTCAACGCAGTGATCCTCCTAGTCTCCAGATCCCGACTTTCCTCTAGCATGTACCTCCAGCATAGCATCTGCTTACGCAACGTTCAAATCCAACACATCCAAATGCTATACCGAGTCTTGTAAACTCCTTCCTGTTTCCCATACCTGAGACCCCAGTCAGACATTAGATTCCTTCCTCTCCACCCCATCCCATCCAGCCAATCAATATGTCCTATATAATATGCCATGGGAATATTTGGTATCCATTCCTGCCTCTCCATTTCAAACTGCCACTGGCCTAATTCAAGCCTTTATCATCTGAACTATATCAAAAGATTCTAAACTGAAACAGAGAGAGACACTCCAATCAGATCTCTGCCATCACACTTGCTCACTCACAATTTATCCTGTACATTTTTTTTTCTATTTCAAAATTCTGATCCCATTTTTTTCTTTTCTTAATCCCATCAATGGTTCCCAACACGGCTGGAATAAAATTAAAATTCTTTCTTATAGCATACAAAGTGCTTCCACATCAAAATGACACAGCATTTGTATTCTATCTTGAGCTTCCCTTCCTTCGACTCTTTTCATGGGTCTATAATTCAGTCTTACTGAACCCTGTCTTTCACGCCTGAGGTGGCATACCTTCCTCCTACACCTTTTCTTTTGTCTACTGGGTAGGCTCAGAGCTATTGCTAATGCAAGTATTAATGTCTCTGTGAAGATTTCTTTATGTGCCTTCACCCCCAAAGTCAGAATCAGGTGCCCACCTTCCATGTACCCATGGACTTAAGCTTCTAAGTGTGCACTTCCTATGACAGCATTTATTGTGTTCCACTGCGATAAACCCACGGCTGTCAAGTCGACTGACTCACAGCAACCCTACAGGACAAAGTAGGACTGCCTCATAGGGTTTCCAAGGCTGTGAATCTTTACAAAAGCAGATTGCCACATCTTCTTCCTGGTAGCTTTGAACTGCTGACCTCTGCATCATGAGGGTCCCTTTCCATTGTAATAAGTCTATATAAATGTCTTGCTTCATCACGGTGAACTCCCTGAATGACAGAGTTATATGTAAGAGAGTGCTTCAAAATGTTTATGGAGGGAAAAACAAAACAAACAAAACAAAAACATTTATGGAGAAATGCACTGAAAGACAATGGAGTAGCTTAAGGGCTTAGCAACCTGATTTGGCATTTGCTAGGTGCCCAATGCATATTTAGTAAAATATTTTTGTATATAGTAAAGGACATCCTCAACTCTTGGGATGTAGAAAACAGCTGCTCCCCCCGCCCCTTTTATTTTTCCACAACTGCTTTTTAAGTTGTTCTCTGTCCATCATTAGAAAAGAGATAGTTCTTTTAGCCAGGACCCTATACCAGTTCCTAGACCCTTAGGGACTGCTGCCCTCGTGACTCAGTTTGCCTTACCCT